TTCATTGCAAAAACTACCTGAGCTTGACATTGTGAAATTACTTCCTTATGCTCTATGTACCATAAAAGAAGCCCAACTGAACTGGGAATGGATATATCCTCGCCCAAACTACACGCAGCAAACAGCTACAGGAGCCCAGAGCTTGGTAGCAGGAAATGTGTGGGAAAGCCATCTGGTGAAGCCACTTAGAAACAGCGTGAAAGTCTTTTTTCATTCATTTCCTGACAAAGTAGTAATATGTTGCCTCATTATAGGGAGAGGGCTGCTTGTTATTATTATTTGCATTAGTAGCTCCTAGAAGCCCAAAGGTGGGGACAGGACTGTTGCTGTGTTAGGTGCTGTGGGCACATGTAAGAGGAGAGCTTTCCCTATACCCATTCCCCCCAGATTTTATAACTTAAAAGGATAGAAAGCATAGGATTTTTTTTTTTTCCAAATGGGGAACTGAAACAGATGGGAGAGACTGAAGGAGCTGGAAACAGAACACGTAATAATTCCCAAGCCTCGACTTTCTCAGCAAAACTGTACTTTGACTCCTATACTTTATCTTTGAGCATTTATGGTGAGTGGTATGTACCTTGACATACTGCTCATAATGTGCTCTGCAGTTCTCCTAGGTAAAATCGCCATTTAGCTTGGTGTGGACACAATGCTGAGAGTTACTACGTGCTTTGCTGTGCTGAGGCAGGGGGAGGGAAATCAAATCAACATGCAGAAGGGATTTTAATCATCACTTAGAAAATTAAAAAATAAGGTTATTGTGGAGATCTTAAACTTGATCTTTGGCATCTGAATCATAGAACTATAGGGTGGTTTGAGTTGGAAGGGAACCTAAAGACCATCTAGCTCCAACCCCCCTGCCATGGGCAGGGACACTTTCCACTAAACCAGGTTGCTCAAAGCCCCATCCAACCTGGACTTGAACACTTCCAGGGATAGGACATTCACAACTTCTCTGGGCAACCAGTTCCAGTGCCTCACCACCCTCATAGTGAAGAATTTCTTCCTTATATCTAATCTAAATCTACCCTCTTTCAGTTTAAAGCCATTACGCCTTGTCTTATCACTACATGCCCTTGTAAAAAGTCCCTCTCCTTCAGGTACTGGAAGGCTGCTCTAAGATCTCCCCAGAGCCTTCTCTTCTCCAGGCTGAACAACCCCAACTCTCTTAGCCTGTCTTCATAGGAGCTGCTCCAGCCCTCTGATCACTTTTGTGGCCTTCCTCTGGACTCGCTCCAACAGGTCCATGTCCTTCTTATGTTGGGGTCCCCAGAGCTGGATGCAGTACTCCAGGTGGGGTCTCACCAGAGTGGAGTAGAGGGGAAGAATCGCTGCCCTTGACCTGCTGGCCACACTTCTTTTGACGCAGCCCAGGATACAGTTGGCTTTCTGGGCTACACGCGCATACTGCTGGGTCACGTTGAGCTTCTCATCAACCAACACCCCCAAGTCCTTCTCATCAGGCCTTTCATATCTTTCACTATGAGCTCCCAGTCCAGCCTACCTAATTTACCCATGGTTTAATACTGCTATAACCCCAGGCAGTATCTCTGTGTGGTTCTCTGCTTTGAGCAGAACAAAAGGCTGTATTTCAAAAGGAGGCAAAATTCCTTATAGCCTACTTACTATTATTAGATATGTAAAGTTCTCCTATATCACCTCATCTGAAGACCTCAAATCATTTTATGAACCTTATTTTAGCCTCTTGGTGACTCTGAGGCAAGACTGTTATCCCTGTTTTTAGAGACTGGAACAGACTTAAAATCCCCATCCTTGAGTTTTCCTTATCAATCTTTGTCAGACTTGAGGATGGATTTTTTCAGTTCCATGCTTTAACTGCAAGACAAAGCTTTCCAGGTCCCTTTGCTATCCTTGTGTGGGTGTGTAGGACCGCGTGCTTGGTTGGCTAGCATTTGTGCCAGGTTTAGACTGGAAAAAAGTATGCGCTTGGGCTGGCCTTTCATCTCTGGGGAAGGCAGGGTTAAAAAAATGTCCTAAAGCTTAATTAGTTGGTGAAAGAACATCACAGCAGCAGCAGGAAGGAGGAGGGGTAGGATGAAGGAGATAGTGGATGCTGCCCTGCTTTGAGGTAAAAGGGGCTAAAGCCCAGGAACCTCGGAAGGAGCAAGCAGGACCATGTAGGCTGGTAGCTCAAGAGGCTGAGACTGTCATTTGACATATACAGCCTAGTGCCAAGGGAATACCTTCCCCAGGAGAGAGATGCTCATGTATTGTGAAATTGGGCCATGAGGTGTTAATTGCTAAAAACTGCAGAAATTAAAATTTAAAGAGCTAGTACCTACTAGTGTAGAATGACTTGTACCAGAGTGCAACCTTCCTTTCTGTCCTGTGAGTGAAGCCTCTAGTAGGGTATACAGTGTTGGACGGGGCAGAGTTGAAGCTCTGAATAAGGCTTTAATTGCCTTATCACAGGGTTCTCACAACCCTTTTGTCCCGAACAACCCACTGTGACACAAAATGCAGGGGCAAAATGCAGAACCAGGAAGGCAAGGAGGATGCCAGCAACACCTCAAAGTTCACAGAAGCTGTAACAGCACTTTTTTTGTAGGGTTTTTCCTCTCCCAGTGCTCAGTTCATGATCCCTAGCAAGACTCCAGCCTGTGGCAATACAGGTGCAGACAAGCACATCCATGCACCTGTATTTGTCCTTTTTATTTATTGAAAGCCTAAGTAGTAACAGGAGCCAGAACTATGTGGGTGCAGGGTTTAAGCACTACCACTGCCTCAAGGATTACATGCATAACCTCTTCAGAATAAGAGACCAGACAAATAAGACTGCAATTGCATTATGGAGCCGCAAACGTGGAATACTAAGCACCCAGTAATCAAGTGCTAATATAATGCTGAGATTTTAAAAAGCCTTAACGAAAGCCCTGGGTGAATGACCGCAGACCATTTCCAACCCTGTTTCAATTTGCCCAGATTCTCATGACTTTAGGAAGATTGTTTACACCCTTGCTATATCCATTGCCATATTTGAGTTACTAGCAAGTTTTGGCCAGGTGACAAACTCAATGAGCATCGAATTGTGCCTCGGCAAGTGTAACCAGTTTCTATCAGTTTGCTTCACCTGCATTGGAGAGCAACAGTCCTTTTCTCCAAGCTGGGAGCAGGGCTGGGCTGGAGCAGTGAGGGCAGCACCAAGACTCAGCTTTTTCCCAGGATGTAGGAGTTCTGAAGTGGGCAGATGAAGACTCTTTCTGGCAGTAATAGGGAGTTAAGGGAACAAAACCCATGCTTGGACATTGCATTCTGGTAGACCTAACTTGGTGGTTCCTTTGCACAAGGCTTAGCTGAGCAGCTCTCCGAGCATCTGGGCTGCGAGAGGCTCCTGTAGCACAAGTGTCATGTGAGGATAATCCCATGTGGTTTAAAGCCCAAAGCAAGCTGTCTGGCTTTCCTCTCCTATCTTCTAGTCTGGTCTTTCAGTTTGTGCTTATGCTGGGACCATAACAAATCTTACATTACCCAGTCAGTGACGGAAATCGTGCATAGACAGAAAATCACTGAGGGTCACCAAATCTGATGGGAACCTAGTTCTTAGCCCTGGATAAGAAACCTGACACAACACAGGAGCTCTGCAAGGGCTTGGGTGGAATCTCTCATCCATGTTGTATGTGAAATATGCTCTGTCCAGAGAAGAGGTGAAAAATCTTCACTAGCTTATCTGCTATGCTTGGGAGATATTGCTTTAAAAACGTGGATAAACTTAGCAGTGTTCCTGAGTTAAGGAAGTTGGTTGTTTGCAGTTTTTTTGTCTTTTTTTTTTTTTCCCAAAGCCAGTTAAAAACCAAATCCACAGACTAAGTGGCTTTTTTAGTACTTGACAAGAAAATCTATAGCAGAATGAGGAATGATTTTCTCAAGTGCTAGTACAAAGTGTTATACCCAAGACCTGCTCTTCTCACCTCCAGGAGCACAGGAAAACTGCATATCCAGATCAAATGAAGACAAGTGAAGAGACGTGTACACTTGGCCCATTTCAGAGTCTTCTGGTCCCTGTGTTGTGATCGAGGTTTTGACCCTCTCTTAGGCAGTCCCTGTGTCAGCCCCAGAGACTCACCTCTGACAGAATCTAGTCTGAAATGTGCTCTTACAACATTAGATGGGCGTCTTCAGCATGAGTCTGTGGTGTCTGTTTTTGTTCTATTCTATTTTGGGGATAAGCAACTGGTGAGAAGAAAATACTTTCATCTGCTGGAGTAACTGTGTTCTTAAGCATGAAAATTATGGTTTGTACTAACTGTCCAGTGGGGAGAAAAAAACAAGATTCTTAATTCTAGAAGACAGGTTAACTTCTGGGGGAGGAGGCAGAAACTGTTAAGTCTTTTGCTGTCAGAAAGAAACCCATCCTGGAAGTATTCAGTCAACTAGGCTGATTTGTAGCAGCCTCACTATAAATCCTCTTTCATTCAGAGGCAAGTGAAGCTCGTTGCTGAAACATGCTATTCCAAGGAATTTCAGTAGGTTCTCACACATCTAACCATGGCCAAGTTATCTGCAGGGACACATCATCTTAGTATGACATGGTATATTCAATTCTACAATGTTATAGCCAATGTATGTCAAAAAAGGGAGGCCAGCAAAAAGCCTTTCACCTCACTGTCACAGATTAGCCTTTCTTGCGTGCTACATTTGTCCAGCCTATTTGTAAATCAGAAACAGATTTTCTAAATCAGTTTCAGATACAAAAACAGTTGAGAGAGACATCTATGCAGTAAATGATCACTCAACCCAGAAACATAACTGTTTTGCCAATGACATGCAGCACTCCTTTAAAGGTGTAAAATTCAGTTTAAAGGCAGCATGTTTTATAGGGACACCCGTGTAATCTGACCAGATGCAGAACCTTTTTTTTTTTCCTTAAAGGGGAAGCTTTCCCGCTCATTTGCTTGAAAGGTGGTTTATAGCAGAGCTGCGAGCCTCTCCCATGACCAAGGTGGCTGTGTGCCTGCCCTCACCGTGCCGCAGTGACTCACCCTGCTGAGCTGGTCCAGGAGTCTTTGGTTCTGTTCGGAGAGTTCCTGGACGGCCCGTGTCTTCTCGCGGTCGGCTTCACGCAGGTGAACCTGCTGCCTCTCCAGCTCGTCCTGCAGCTGCTTCACGTCGCTTTCCAGTTCAGACACCCTTCCTTCCCATTCTCCTTCTCTGTTCTCAAATCGCCTCCTTAGTTCGTGTTTCTCTTGTTCTAGGTGCTAGATAACAAGCGGGAGAAGAGGTTATGAAGGGAGGAAAAAAGTGAATGCTACCTCCTTTTCCTCCTCTATGCTTAGGGCCGAAACCTTTTGCGCAGGAAAGAGAATGGTACTAGACCGTGACAATGCCATGGAGGTGGCAATCCCATGTCAGGGCAGGTCACTGACACTAAACTTGCTTTCCATTTCCAGCAATTGGCCTGTCCTTGGCCTCTTGAGATCAGCACATTGAATTTCTACTGAAACAACTGCCAAAAGAGTAAAGCAGGCTGCGTGTCAATAGGGGAATATATAGGTCAGGCAGACCAATTGATTTGGCAGAGCCTAGCTTAACTCCAAAGCAATATTTCAGTGGGCAGTAGCATAATTCTTTTAAAAATTGCCTTTGTAGTCAAAACTACACAAACTGTATCCTTACTGCTGATGAGGAAATCTAGATGAGGCATCTTTCTTGTCATATGAGTCTTATGAACAACAGTCCAATCATCTATCCATTTGCTCCTTCTATTCCTGACCTAATTAGTTGTCTGATAGTTTGATAGTGCACAGTAACTCTATTGTTTGATGCAGTCTGCTCTGGAATGGCAATGGATGCAATGAAGTCTTTTCTATAGACATTACGTACGTGCATGTTCTGGGTTGCAGGTTTTTTAGAAACCACTCTCAGTTCTGGAGACTCTGCTCTGCTTAGGACTGGCTGGAAAATGAGGGACAGCACGAATCTGGTGGAACTTTTGCATGTTTTACAGGCTCAGTTAAATGAGCGCTTGACTGAAACAGAGCTGAAAATCAGGTCAAAACAGATTTATGTTGTGCCCGTTTGAAAGAATCCCGGCTCTGAAACTCTGAGCTTGAATTTCCCGTCGTGACCGAAGTGATGCGCATACTTGCGGAACAGTCACAGACTGGGGACATGGACATGTCCCAAGATTAGCAGGGAAACCTGAAAAGCAGGAGCCCTCTCCTTGTTGGTTGTCTTCTGTCCCCCAGAATAACCTGCTGCTACTCTCTATCGGGTTCACCAGCCTTTTAAGAACGTGTCTTAGCAAAGAAGAGAAACCCACTGGGCCTCTTCTTAGCAAAGAAGAGAAACCCACCGGCAGCACTCGCCCATTTTTCCCAGGGTATCATCCCCCAGTGAGCAATCCCCATGGCACTTATGATAGGAGGGGAAAATAAACCTGCTAGGAGGAAAAGAAAATTGCACTGCATTTATGTGAAGTGGCTTTTTGTTGCTTGTTAGAAACACAGGCTGAGGGGGCTGTTTCCCCTGGGTGCCTACTGCTGATGACACACAGCTTCCCTTGCAGGGTCTCTGCCACCTTCCTGAGCAGGTCTGAATGTCAAAGCTCTCTGCTTCTCCAGCAGCCCTCTGGCTGGCATTATCACTAATCTTCCACCTCTTGCTCTGCAGAAGATGCCATGTTTTCTCTTTCTCGACCTTATCTCCAAATCATTTCCTATGCTCCTTCCAGCGCAGTGTAGCAGCACCCTGCTTGTGCCCTTCCAAATCTCTCTGCAAATTCAGGACTTTCTGGGAAAACCTCAAATGTGAGGAAAGACTGATTAAAAACACTGGCCCAAAGCAAAAGTATTTCCCTGTGTTTCAGATGCTAAAAGAGTGAGCACCCCTTGCAAATGAGAAAGCTAAGTATTATTATAATTACTTTTAATGCAATAGGTAGGCATGGGATCCCAGCACCAGGACCATGACAACCATTGCAAAGAAATCTTGTTTGTAGCCTAAATGTGGCTGGAGCAGCCACAATTTCACTTTTAGCGGCATACTGAAAATGCTGTCTTTTATAGCTCTGTCTCCTTCACTGCTAGGCAACGTTCAGAAAGATCCAGGGCCTTCTCTAAATGGAAGATGAAACTTCAGCCTGCTGAGGAGCAGCACTGCAGTTGAAGTTCCCCAGACATACTCAAATGTGATTTAGAAGCCACCGATAAGCCTTGTCAATCGTTTAAAAACCACTTCAGTCCTTTACTGCAAAAGAAAATCCACACTACATACAGCTCCAATAAACGGCCATCACACAGGTTGGAGTTAGAGGGAGGCGAAGAATATCAAGTTTATTCTGTTGTGATGGAGAAACCAGAACAGTGCAGCGGGGCACAGAGAGGCTGTTGCAAAGCGGGAGGATAAACCACCCTGGATATGCTGACTGATTCCTCCTGCCTCTTCCTCTCCCAGCAGCTGTCTCCCCTCGCCTGCCCTCACCCCAGCACCTGCACGGCTGCAGATCTGGATAGGGCTTTTTTTCATGTAGTGATGACAGGGCAAACTGCTGTCCTCAGTAGGGGAGTTTCTTGTTTTCCCAATGTCTCTCCATCCACCAGCTGCTCACTGATTTTTTACACAGAACTGCTTTCTAGAAGATGTTTTCATCTGAAAACAGCTTCTCTTCAACTTAACTGGGCTGGGCTGTCCTCATTTAAAGAGATGAGAGCAAGGGGGAGTTTCCCAGCTGATAAAGAGGGTTCATACTGTAAAATGCTTGGACATGGCAAGCTTCTCTGTGTCAGAGGAACAGAGGTATTAGCTGTTTTAATCCCTTGCAGAGGATAAAACTGACTAGGGTCACATATGAGAATTTATTACAGGACTTCAATTCCATGATTAGAAATGAATTTGAATTCGGGCTGTGAAGTGAAAGAGTTGCCAGAGTAGGTGTATGGCAGGGATGCTGCACTTCAGTAATGAACCCACAAAACTAGAACATATTTAGTCTTGAGGCAAAGGACCAGAATAGCAGGCCAGCATCTTGGCTGTTGGGAAATGGAGGGGCTTCACTGAGCTCTTGTAACCAACTTTGAACTGTTAACTGCGAGAAAATCTCTCCTCCTAAATGCTACTTAAACATCACTATGTCAAGTGCAATTGTCACCAAGGATCTCATCTGAGACTTTGCTTCTGGTCATCATCAGAATGTTCTCAGCATAGGGAAGGAGGTAACGGATGTGGGTCCTTCCTCCCTGCTCCTGTGAAATTTAAAAGCTTATTGTGAAATTTCGTTCACTTTAGTGGCAACAGGAGGAGGCCAATGTTTAATTTGCAGAGGCTAGGATTACCATGCTTGTGTTGTAGAAGGTTAATGTTCAAGTTTTGTTTGGGTTTTTTTTTTTTGTGTGTGTAAAGTAGCACCATCTTAGATCTGCCAAACCCAGTGGAAAAAATCTGACCCTTAAGCAGATAACACTAACTCCTATCAGATGGGTAGCCTGAAAAGCAGGAATCTGTTATTCAACTGGAAGATTAGAGTGATAGTAACGGGATGAAAAGATGTAAACAATTGGCTGCATTTACCATCCCTTCATTCACCTTCTGAATGGGCCCGTAAGAGCAGAGGGGAACATTTGGGGGATGCTATTTAAAGTACTATAAAGTCATAGTTTTTCCCCTCTCCTTTTCATCTTTACATTTTGCAAACAGCGAGTGGTATTTGAGACTCCCGAACTCCCTAACAGGCAGCTCAGCGAGTGCCTAAACTTGTGCATTTTTCCTTTAACGGTAGGAAAGGTTCTACTCCAACTCATCAGGAAAACCACGTCAGCACAACGCCACACATGTCTGTTCTTGCTTAAAGATCAACCTGAAAACATTTGCTCTGGCAAATCTTAATGCTCTGGGAAATTTTAATCCATAAATAGTGCCCCTATACAACAATTTGAGCAAATGTCACCTTCACTATTGTTTCTATCAGAATAGCAAATGCAGAGAGATTTCCCTGCAAAGAGGAAGGGATCAGCTAGGGTAAAGTGCTAAGTTTAATAATGGAGAGGAATTTTGTCAGGAGAACAAAGGCCATACAGTAATTTCACAAATCCTCTTGAACTTGAGATGTAAGTCCATGAGGAAGGAACACAGGAATATGCAGGACTGTGCAGAAAGAACTGGTCTAGGGCCGTGAATTGAAATTTGAATGTTATTCCAACACTGTTCAAACTCTCTCCAGAAAGGTGAGAGAGGCTTCTTCTCAGACTTCTAAGTAGTATTACTTGCTGGGAGAATTAAAATTTCAAGAGTTTCTCTGAGAAAAAGAATGGGGGTAATAGTGGCTGTCTTACATAGTTGTGCAAAAGAGTTGTTCCAAAAGATGCTGCCTGCACAAGTCTTTTTCTTTGTAATAGCTCTATTTCATCTGTAAAAATCAATAAATAGCTCAGTCCCCTGAGTCTCTGGCAAACAGCTCTCTCCAGATACCTGTAGGTATTTTTCAGAGCAACCAGCTAACAGAGACGTATCATTAAGGCTTATATCCTGCCATGCCTAACGCCTTAGCTGCAACAGCTTAAGCATAAGGGTTACATATGCTCTGTAGCTCAGTACCTGCCATATAAATTTAACTTCTGAGGCGTTTCTGTGACGAGCCAAGCACAGTGCATGTCTCCTCGCCCAGGTGGTTCCTGGGGCAAAACAGGAACCTCTCGAAGCAAGGTGCCGCAGCCCGTCCCCAGGCCGATACGCCAGCTCGCAGCCGGGGAGGCAGGAGAACCGCAGATTTGCCTCCCCCAGGCCTGAGAGGGTTTTCTTAGACCCTTTCTTCCCCATCACGGCCACAGGGAGTTCCGTGGGCTGCCCGGCAGGGCCCGTGCCTGCCTGCCGCCCCCGGGATTTGTCGGGGAAGGGGCCGCTTTCCGCGGGGAA